TAAGCGTCATTCTGACCAGATTCACTTTACCGTCTGTAATCGTCGTTCGACTCGCTGTAATGACAGCCTGGACAAACCAACAATTACCTTAAATGCTGAATCAGTTGCTCGCTCCCTTATTAGGGCATACTCACATTAAGACCTTTTCGACTCAGCTCTGGACATGTGCGGTCTTACAGTGTAGATTGAGGCACCTGAGCAGGAAAGAAAGCAAGCAATGACCAACACTTGCTCTTGAACACGAAAACTTTGAAAGGTGCGTTGCATCCAAGACATGTTCTTCAATACTCAGGACGTGCAGATTCCTCGACGTACGTTTAGACCGGCTGCGCTACGGTCACCCTCAGGAGGCTGTCTGTCCTCCTAGCCTCAGCCTTGCGGCTTCCCACCAGTCTCTCCCATACTCTTGAGCGTGGAGGGCCAATACGGCCTTGCCCTCTTAATACTGCGAGTTTCTGCGTGTTTCGACTGCTCTCAGCTTCGCAGTGGGCCTGGGCGGGCAGCTACCGCCCGCGCATACAGCAGCACTAGCTAGGCAACTGATTCATACGTTGCTGCTGCACCTTAATCCCTATCACTGCTCGTGCTTTCCGCTCGCTAAGCCACCTGCTAGCGCACCTGTTAGTGCGCACGCGTGGACGCCCGTGCAGGCCATATGCCTGCGTATAGTAGCTAACTCACCCCTCCGCCTCTTGGTCTATTCAAATTCGAATTTTTTTCTCAGCCACCAGTCAGCGCAAGCGTGGACGCCCATGCAGGCCACGTGCCTGTGTATAGTAACTAACTCACCCCTCCACCTCTTGCTGTATTCCAATTCGAGATTTTCTCTCTCACAGCTATTTGCTGTTCTTCCCACTCAAATTAGTTATACAAATCCTGCGTGCCTCCTGCTGCTTATTATCTGCACTTGGACCTTGCATGCTACCTGGTACATCGAACTTATTTTCACTTCAAACACTCTGGAAATAGTACGCTTTCCGCTGAAAAGCCTGCTACGAAGTTCAAAACGGGAAGCAGGAAATTGCAAAAGCAAACCGGAAAGCACCTGGGTAAGAAGAAATTAGAAAATACTTGATATTACCCCACCCCTCTAATCAGGTCTAACTTACGAGAGTCCGATTCTAGGCTATTATATAGCCACGCCCACATTTCTTAGGTGGGCGGAAAATCTTAAAGTGTCGAACGTGTGTGATTTACTGAAGCTAGTGCAAAATTATAATAACCCAACAAGAATGGCCAGCGTGGCTCCGGCCGCACTAGGAGGGGTTCAGGAAAATGATTAGCATATGGTAGGAGGATGACACCACAGAGAATGATGCATACGAAATTCGTTAGCCAATCATATTGCCAGTGATGGAACCTGACTGCAAAGACGTTGCAAAATGACATTTGAAAAGTTTGGCACACAGAAAACATGTGGCATCGAAATACGCCGATCATAGTTTGTTTGTTTACTCTCTCTCTCTCTCTCTCTCTCTCTCTCTCTCTCTCTCTCTTATCTATCTATCTATCTCTATCTATATCTATCTATCTATCTATATCTATCTATCTCTATCTATCTATCTATCTATCTATCTATCTCTATCTCTATCTATCTATCTATCTCTATCTCTATCTATCTATCTATCTATCTATCTATCTCTCCATTCTATGTCCATCTTTTCCTCGCTCATTGTCTTTCTGTGTTCCCAGTGACTGCCTATGTGTGCCGTTTCTGCCTTCTGTTTATGCATCTGTTGTCGTCTTGCCTTGTTTTTGTAGTACCAGCGGCGCTCCACTCTCATAAAAAAGGGATAGGGAAAGAGCATTAATGATTAGGAGAGAGAGAATGCAGTTAGAGAATGTATGAATGCAGGAAGGAGCAGTGGCAGTTTGGACATATCCAAAGCATTTACAGCATTGGTTGGTACCCAACAGGAAAATTGCAAATAGTGATTTGCCAGTTTGAAAGATACAGAGAGAGACATGGAAATCCATCGAACCAAAGGCATGAAGAAAGGAAACTGCAAAAAAGTGGGTATATTTACCTGTTCTTTGCACTCCTAGATGCAGAGAAGAGTTAAAGAGTTGATGTCCGTGTCACGGTTTAACGAACGTGGTGTAGTAGGTCGCAAGGAACAGCGAAGTACTGGAAACAAAAAGCAATGAACGTGCGTGTGTGTGCACATGAGAGAGAAAGAGAGAAATTCTACGTGTGTGTGAGAGAGAGAGAAAGAGAAAGGGTTGGGACTCAGGACCATCGTGTTCCCGCACCACCACGTGGCAGCGGAGACTGGGGATCATCTTCTTGATCCCCAACCCACCCACCCCCAACCCTTTTTCCCCTACTCCCTACTCCCTTACCCCTAAACCCCCAACCCCCAACCCCCTTCCCCCTTCCCCCGACCCCCTGAACCCTTCCCTGGCATACCCCTTAACGCTTATCCCCTTAAACACACCGCCTCATTCGAATTTCTTTTTTCCTTGGCTGGGGGATGGCCCCAGGGTTCCGCAGCCTGATCATCGCCCGCCAACCCCAGGGTCCCATTTTTAGACTCCATTTATGGCCTTGACCGGGCAGCTACTTCTGGGGGGGGCAAACCGGGCTGGTCACCCGGTCATAATCGGTCGCGCCTCCAGTCGTGGGATCCGCAGGCCCTTCTATCTCTCGCGCACACAACACGTCAGTCTGTATAAGTCTCTGTGTTCATGATGCTTGTAGAATCTGTAGATGCGTTTTTGCATGTTCGTTCGTCAGACATCCATGGGCGAGCCCATGAAGTTGGCGTTGGGTGTCAACAGAGCCCGAAACATTGCTGATAGGTAGCATTAACTTCATTTGTTGGCTTGCCCATGAAACATTGTTTCATTGGGGGTCACCAAATTGCAATACTTGCGTGAAAGAGGGGTTTGCGTGAAAGAGGTGGATTTGCAAGTACTGCAATTTGCAATTGTTCAATGTTAAGTTCGAAACATTGCAAATTGAAATTGAACATAAAAGCAAGCTGTGGTGACACCAAATTGAACAGGGAAGGGTGAGCATGAGAATAATGAACAGGGAAAGGAAATTAATTAAGCACAAATGCAGGAAGATATTTTTTAACTTGTTCTATAGGGCTTTGCCGCACTACACACCAAATGCACAGACGGCAAAAAACTACGGCAGTGTATCTTTTTTCAGGTTCGAGTGAAGGATTCATTCTCAGTTGGTACATTTAGGGAGTGGTCCGGCGAACGCCCATATGCTCACACTGGAAGTTTTTCAACTTACCTCTGGATGTAATTGCGGTTAGGTGCATCCAGGTTGACTATAAAAGGGGTCCCATGCATCAGGAAAGGCCTTATGTTAGTATAAGGTGAGTCTTGTGCGCTCAGGCCCCAGTGCGCAGCTGCTCTTTCCTCTTCTTCCCATTTCCCCCCCCCCTTTTCTGAAGGGTGGCAGCCTTGAGATGTCATCGTTGAACTGACCAGCCCGGCTACTCAGAAGGATTCTGTTCTGCTAATCTGATTCCTAGATGACTGCTGCAGCTTCGCTTGCAAAGAAAATAGAATTCAATGAATACCACCCATCCTTTTTTCTGTTTACTGTGAGCGTTTTCTTTGAAAAGCAACGTTTTCTTTTTTTTCTTGCTCTGCACTGTGTGAAATGGCCCACACAGTTCTCTGAAAGGAACTCGGAACTTTTTTCAGAAGAAATGCTGTCTCGTTAATGTGTTTGCTCAGGATCACGATTCAGAGACTGTTTGCTGTGTTTTCTGAATATGTTTGTGATCAACCAATCTTACAAGTAAAGCCCGTGATGCTACGCCCGCATTTTCTGAATATGTTTGTGATCAACCAATCTTACAAGTAAAGCCCGTGATGCTACGCCCGCACACACGGAAATAACAAATGAGAAATCCTAAGTGTCCATCTGCAGATC